GAAGCAGGCTCCCCACTGAGCAAGGAGCCCGATGTGGGACTCAATCACAGGACCCTGGGATCATGACCAGAGCCAAAGGCTGACACTCAAAACTGACTGAGCCACCCAGGCGTCAAAAGGACAATTTTCAATGGACATTATTTCAAAGTCTTCAATACCTTCAATTGCTTTTAAGTTTACACATCCTTCATTATAAAGATCACAAGTTTTTATGACAGGATTTCTCAGATTTAATTCTTATTCAATAAATAAAAGATGTACACAGTAATAAACGGATGACAAACATGAACAAAAAGTTTGCAAATATATTTTTAAAAGTTCAGTGATGTGTAAATTAAATTAAGATGACACCACCTTTCAATGACCAGTTTAGCAAACATTAAATAACACTCCTATCCCCAAACTTGCAATATGGAAAAATTTATGCTGTAAGGAAAGTAATACCATTTTTTGGTGGGGGCAATTCTGCACAGATCATCAAAAGTTTTAAAAATATGTTGACACTTTGGGGTGTCTGGGTGGCTCAGTCGGTTTGGTCTCCCATTCTTGGTTTTGGCTCAGGTCATGATCTCGGGCTCATGGGATCAAGCCCCAAGTCCAGCTCTGCACTCAGCGCAGAGTCTGCTTGGGATTCTCTCCTCTCCCTTTCCCTCTTCCTCCTCACATATGCATGTACACGCATGCTCTCTCTAAAATAAATACATAAAATCTTAAAAAAATATATGTTGACACTTTTTTTTTAATATGTTGACATTTTGACCTAGCAATTCCACCTATAGAACCTTTTCTCAAGAAAATAAGAGAAGTGTGCCACCTTGCAGAACTATTCATGAAAAACCTCTTTACAATTGCAAAGACTAGCAACAACTTCAAATAACAAACTATTAAATGATTATATAAACACAAAAAAGATAATTATATTTGACAAGAGCTAATAATGATGAAATGTCAAATGTTGTCCTACCCTCACTCCAGGTCAAAAACAAGGCAAGGCTTTATACTTTTACCATTTCTATTCAACACTGTATTAGAAAAAGAAATAAACAGGGATCTGTGCGGCCAAACTATTTCTATGATAATACTAAGATTATTTGCATTTTTCACTGTGTTGGCATTTACAATAATGGTGCAAAAGCAGTGATGGGTAAAACTGCTGGCAGTAGAACCGAATCTTACTTCTTTACTATCACACAGTTGCAGAAAAGAAAAAAGTGTCACCTGCACTTATGGTTGTTATATCAACACCAACTGGTGAATACAATTCTGACACTAACCTGGAATTAGAATCAGACCCCACAGGTTTAAAAGGCATAATGCCCAACAAGACTGCCAGTCACTTCAGATGCCACCCATACTTCTGGCCAACTAGCTATAAATCTGGGAGGTTCCTAAGGCCCCCTTCAGGTTTAATAATTTGCTAGAATGACTCACAGAACTTAGGAGAGCTCTATACTTACAATCACAGTTTTAATATTAAGGATCCAAATCTGGACCGACCAAATGAAGAGACAAAGAATGGTAAGGTCTAGAAGGCCCCAAATGCAGAGCTTCTGTGCCTCCTTTTTATGGAATCAGGTAGCGATACCTACCTGGCATATTGATGAGTACACCAACCAGGAGGCTGCATTGAGCTTTGGTGTCTAGAGTTTTTATTGGCGCCTCACTGCATGTGACTGAACTCAATCTCCAGCCTCCCTCTCCTCCCTTGAGGTTGGGCTGGTTAAAACCTCCAACACTCTATACTCACATGGTTGGTCTTTCTGGTGACCCTCCCTCAGCCTCGGTCATCTCATCTAAGTCTTAGCCCAAATTCAAGTGTGATCCAAAGGGCTCATAAATAGAAAACACAATCCCAATACTTGGGAAATTCCAAGGATTTAGTCTTTCTCCTAAGAACTAAGGACAAAGACCAGTAAAATGATGTATTATATAATAGATGTCCATGATGAAATAGTAAATATTATTATTAATCTTACTAAATTTAAGCTTTTGAATACATCTTAATATTCTGTGTGATAAACAGAGAAACATGCATAAGCAGGGAAGCATACATAGACCACCTCTGTTTCATACCAAAGTACAATGGTTGTCTGAAGGAAAAGTGGAAAAGTGCTTGTAAAATAGTTACATTGCAAGATGAACTACGCTTTTTCATGAAATACCATTTTAAATACCATTTAATAACCATGTTAAAAAACACTGGTTATTGACATTTTCTTGAAAATAAATCAAGAAAAATTCACTTCAAGAAAAATGACAGTATTTGTTGCTGAGAAAATCTGAGCTTTCAAGTGAAAATTAGCATCTTTGAAAACTGTATCCACCACTGTCAGTTTGACAGCTTCCTAAAGTGTCAACATTTAAAATAAAGTGTCAACATCCAGAAGTTCAGTGAATCGGTATTTTCCAAATCTATGTATTTTTTAACTGACTAAAGCACAATGTTACCAAATCATACAAAGGTAAAGACTCATTCACAGATCAATGAATCTTAATGTAATAAAGTATGAAAACTTCACTAGTTGGTTTCAGATTCCACAGTATTAAGAAACTTTAAGAAACTGCCACTTATCAAGTTTTGGTGCTGTGTCAAAAACCCCACAACTATCCATAATTACCTAAAATAGTGCTCTCTTCTACAACCAAATGTCTATGTGAGGGCAGATTTTCATTTTATACTTAAAACAAGATATAGCAACAGATTCAATGTAGAAATAGATACGAGAAGATACCATATACCTTGCTGTCTTCTATTATGTCAAACTTTAAAGAGATTTGCAGAAATATAAAACAATGCTGTTCACTAAATTCTGAAAGTAATTTTCATTAAAAATGGTATTTTGTCATATAATACATAATTATTGTTAAATACATACTTAAAAAAAACTTAAGCTTTAATTTCTTTTTTTTTGTTTTTTTAAAGATTTATTTGACAGAGATAGCGACAGCAGGAACACAAGCAGGGGGAGTGGGAGAGGGAGAAGCAGGCTTCCCGCTGAGCAGGGAGCCCGAGGAGGGGCTCGATCCCAGGACCCTGGGATCATGACCTGAGCCCAAGGCAGACGCTTAATGACTAAGCCACCCAGGTGCCCCAAGCTTTAATTTCTAACATGATAATTAATCGATATAAATTTAAAAACTTTGGGGGTCCTCAAATATTTTTAAGAGTGAAACAGCCTAAAATGCTTGAGAACTGTCCTACGGAAATAATAAACAATGTAAACAAAGAAATTTAGAGTTTCAACAGTAAAAAATGGGGAACCATAGGAGCACGGAGGTGGCTCAGTTGGTTAAGCATCTGCCTTTGGCTCAGGTCATGATCTCAGGATCCTGGGATTGAGCCCCCATCAGGCTCCCTGCTCAGAGGGGAGTCTGCTTCTCCCTTTCCCTCTGCTCCCCTCCCTCGCTTGTGCTCACTCTCAAATGAATAAATAAAATCTTCAAAAAAAAAAAAAAAAAGAAAACCATACAAATGCTAAAAAAAAAAAAAAAAAAAAGTAGAGGAAAGAGTATCTCAGAAAAAAAATATTTTATAGGCACAGAAACTTCTATTTTTTTAAAGATTTATTTTTCTATTTTAGAGAGAGAGAGAGCTCATGTGTGAGCATGAGTGGGAGGGGCAGAGGAAGAGAGAATTCCAAGCGACTCTGAGCTGACTGTGGATCCTGAGGCAGGGCTCGATCTAACAGCCCTGAGGATCACCACCTGAGCTGGCCCTGAGATCATGGCCTGGGAATAAACTAAGAGTCCGACGCCTAAACAACTGTGCCACCCAGGTGTCCCACAGAAACTTCTATTTCTCAAATGACATATTAAAATTTAGATTAAGTAAACCAATAGAACACAAAACTATATATACTATGCTCTGAATTATATATATATATATATATATATTTTTAAAGATTTTATTTATTTATTTGACAGAGAAAGAGAGATAGCAAGGGCAGGAACACAAGCAGGGGGAGTGGGGGAGGGAGAAGCAGGCTTCCTGTGGAGCAGGGACCCCAATGCAGGGCTCGATCCCAGGACACCAGGATCATGACCTGAGCCAAAGGCAGATGCTTAACGACTGAGCCGCCCAGGTGCCCCTGAATTATATTTTTTAAAATCACAGAGGCAAAAACTGAATTCAAGCAAAGAAACCAAAATTTTAACAGTAGTCCCTGCTAGTTAGTGGGATATGGTGACAAATATTTTCTTATTTCTAACCATGATTTCTTACAAGTGTTCTGTAATAATCAGGCAGTATTCTCATAACCAGAGAAAAAGATTAATTTAAAAAAAGGAAAGAAAAAAAATTCTGGCATTCCATTAAAGCAGTAAATGAGGTTCTTAGCTTTAGTTACTTTTTAGACATTCCCAAAATTATTATTTGGTCAACAGCTTAAAAAGCACCAAAACGGCCAAAAAACAATACCAAAACAAATTTTAAAACTCTCAAACCCCCACACTAAATCATGATAAAGCTACCAAAAAGATATGCTAACTTTTCAATAGCTCTCATTATATTTTAATTTTAGCAGAACAAGACCATCCATGTAAGTTTTAAAAATATAGGGCTCTGACTTAAAGGCAAGAAAGTTTCCCAACTTTTAAAATAAAGCAACTAATAAAATGCTGATTTAAAAACAAAAATCAGAGACAAGAAGTCCAAAAATAAATACCTCACATGAAAAACTGAAATTTCAAGTTGTCTAATTACAAATTAAATAAAATTCAATTATTACATATTATTTTATTTCTTCAATTCACTGTCCATTTTTTTATTCTATGATTTTTACATTAAAATAAAGATACTAGTTAACATGGTGGTCGTAGTGAAGTACGGAGGTTTTCAATTAAAACACTTCAGATGTATAGCACATTGGGTAAAATAGATTTAATGTCTGAAAAATCAGGGACCAAGCAGACTGCAAGTAAAATATTCCATCTTAATATGGAAGTCAAGAGAAATAAAGTATTTCATATATAGAAAGTAAATAAAATCACTTACTGCTTACCGGGACTATGATGAGTTGCATATCCTCCATTCTGAAATTCAACTCCTGCCACATTCATTCTACCAGGATTAAAAGGTCCTACTGCAGTCTTGGTCTGTGAAGTCAAAGATGGGGTGTATGTTTGTATATTAACACCAAAATTACTTGACTGAAGTCCTTTAGCGACATCTCCCAAGTTGGTATTCTATAGTGATGTAATACGTGTAATCATTAAGTTCATATCTCGCCCAGCATTCACAGAGCTTATACCTGTTTCTAAGGTTGTAACATTAGTAATAGGAATTTCAGAGTCAATTCTGTAGTGATAACATTATTACCCATTCCTGCATTTACCTTACTTCTTGAAAGACTGGAAGTGGAGAAATCCAAATCTTTGGTTCTAGTTTTAATTCCAGGAAGTCCCCATTCAATAAAATTGGAAGAATTTTTCTTTTCCCCTCCATTTGTTTCTATGTCCTCTTCATCATCGATAACAATTGTCTCACTTACATTTCCCTTCTCAGAAGCCAAATCTCTTGAGGAAGGAAGAATTATGGAATAATTTCCTTGTAGCCTTTCATTTCTTGATGAAGCAAATATAAAATTTCTTTGATCAGCTACTGCTGGAGTAGAAGTTGAAGGAGGTTGTATAGATTCAATAAATACAACATCATCATCATCTTCTTCCACCGATGAATATCTACATCTGTTATCTAAAGGACTAGTTGGGTTACCAAATGAATTTCCTATATCCATGAGACTAGCTGCTGCCACGGCTTTATGCTCTAATAAAACAGGAGTCTGTTCAGCCAAGTCTAATCCTCTCACTGAACATTTATCCATGCCAAAGAACCTGTAGGGGACAGAGAATAGTAAAAAAAAAAAAAAAAAAAAAAGTTCTAGTATGATTATTCAGTTTTATTGCAATGAAATAATGCAATGAAATGAAACTTTAATTTTCGTGATTTTTATCTAACTTTTAGGGAAAGAATTGTTACTCATTTTGTTTTTTCTCTCCCATTAACCACTTAATGCTTACTTCAGAATTTGATGGAAATTAATCATCCAATTTGTGGTAGTCCTTAAAAAACTTACTCATTTTAAAGTACTCAATTTAACCCGCTCATCCTTTACAATGAAAAACAAAACAAAACAAAACCAAGTCTTCCTTTGAAATAGGAAATAGTAATAAAATTAATTTTTTTTTTTTAAGTTTTTTTTTTATTTATTTGACAGAGACACAGCGAGAGAGGGAACACAAGCAGGGGGAGAGGGAGAAGCAGGCTTCCCGTGGAGTGGGGAGCCTGATGCGGGGCTCAATCCCAGGACCCCGGGATCATGACCTGAGCCGAAGAAGGCAGACGCTTAACGACTGAGCCACCCAGGCGCCCCAGTAATAAAATAATTCTATCGAATATCAATATGGGTCCAAATATAATTACTATACTATACTTTCATCTACCAAAATAACTACGATATCGTCTAATCCTTATTTTGCTAGTGTCTTTTGTCACTGATTTTCAAATTCTCTGCTTCCGACATAACTGTGATTAAATCTTTCTGAATCTTTTTGTCCAGAAATTGCCAGACATTATACTACAGGTGTTTTATGTAAAATTCTGAAAACAGCCCCATAATGCAGGTATAATTTAATCCACTTTACAATCAGGAAAGAGAAGCCAATTAAATTGTTCTGGGTAAGACTGAATAGGACTTAAACTCCAGACTCTAATTCTAGGCCCCAAATTCTTAGCATTCAGTTATATTCAACAATTACTTTTGTGAACCTACTGTACACTAGGATATGACGAAGGAAAGGATCCAGTAGAGAGACACAGTTGAGGAATCTGAAAAAGTAAATTTATTGGGGTGGCTGGGTGGCTCAGTGAGTTAAGCATCTGCCTTCAGCTTGGGTCATGATCCCAGGGTCCTGGGATTGAGCCCCATGTAGGCTCTGCTCAGTGGGAAGCCTGCTTCTCCTTCTCCCTCTGCCTGCCAGTCCCCCTCCCTGTCCTGTCAAATAAATAAAAATAAATAAATAATCTTAAAAAAAAGTAAATTAATTAATGAAGCAAGGCTCTTAAAAGTAGATGAAGGAAGATGAGGATATGTGCACAAGTGGTAATGAAATTGATCATGAGTAAAAAATCACCTCTATCTCAAAGGCAGGAGGGGAAAAGGTAAGTATAAATGGAATGTATATTAAGTATGTAAAAATGATAGATGAAAAGCTAAGTAAGTTTACATATGCTGGCCTCAATTTTCTTAGAAACTCAAGAGTGAAGAAGGTGGGAACCATATGGGTGTTGAATTATTAAGAAAACTCACTTCATATGGCAGTCATCATTCCATTTTAAACAACTCACACTGAAATATGCTATATAACATTTCTATTCTAAAATTTTCCCAACTAATTTTAATTGATAATGGTTATAACACCTATTCTTAATAGGTGTTATTTCATTCAAGTTAACGCTTATAAAAGTGAAGTATAAACTGCTCTTTTTCCTACTAGGAAACTAAGACTCAGATAAGTAATCTGCATAGCCTGCCCAAGTGTCCATTGCTGGGAAGGATAGAGTCAGAATTCAAATCCAAGAAATCTTTCTCTAGAAATGATTTCATAGTCACTGTATTATTGGCACTTAATGTATAAAACAATTTTTAGAAATTACTTTTTATTAAGATGAGTTTATTAAAATAAAATCAACATTCAATGTCCATTTCAAAGAAAAAGAAATAACAAATCTAAGGGACCACTTTAAAGATTTTATTTATTTGTCAGAGAGAGAGAGAGAGCACAAGCAGGGGGAGCGGCAGGCAGAGGGAGAAGCAGGCTCTCCACTGAGCAGGGAGCCCGATGTAGGACTCGTCCTGGGATCATGACCTGAGCTGAAGGCAGACGCTTAACCAACTGAGCCACCCAGGTGTCCCTCTAAGGGACCATCTTAAAAGGGTTATTAAAAAAACACAAAAATTGGGATCATGGTTACCACACATCCAATAAGCTTATTCTGTGGTTGATTTTCAAAGGAAAGAGGCAATAATTTAGCCTAAACAAGGTTAGGAAATATAAGAGCTGTTATACATGAACTCTCTTAGTCCTTTCTATATTTGAATAAATGACAAGAGAAAAGAACAATTTCTGGAAAAGAGCTATAATTGAGTCCAGTCTCCTTTGGTGGCTATTAGGACATATCTTAACCGTCTCAAAGAAAATAAGAGAAAGAGCATTCTTTATGCTCCACTAATTGCAGTCATCTATCTCTGAAAAAAGATTAAGTATTCACCTATTTTCAAGTCACAGATTATAAAAAAGTTAAACCACTACTAAAAGCCAATAATTTAAATTCTTATAATTTATATTTAATTAAATTTAACCAAACACTTTAATTTCAGGAACAGAAGATTACAGAAAAGTTTTGACTACTTCTACAATATTATCCAAAAACAGAGAAAAAGTTATGGTTTAGTGAATTAGTTGTGTAGCACTGAGCAAATTACTTCAATTTATTTTTAGTTTTCCAAACTACAAACTGTAGGGCTCAGGGTGGTGGCTCAGTCAGTTAAACGTCTGCCTTTGGCTCAGGTCATGATCCCAGGGTCCTGGGATCGAGTTCCACATAGGGCTCCCTGCTCAGTGGGGAGCCTGCTTCTCCCTCTGTCTGCCACTCCCCAGTTCCTGCTCTCTCTGACAAATAAGTAAATAAATCTTAAAAAAAAACCCAAACTATAAATTGTACATGAGGATAATACACGATTCCAAGGTCTTTTATTGAGATAACTGGACATGCAAGTCTCTAGTGTCTGTTTGGACCATATTAAAAAAAAGGAAAAAATGTTAAATCCCTCTCCTTTGAGAACGTATTCAGGCAGATACTTTGCCTACATCCTATGATTTCAACAAGTGTCTAATTAATCTTAAACATTTAGCTTATCTTGATCTCAGGGTCATGGGTTCAAGCCCCATACTGGGCTCCATGCTGGGTGTGGAGCCTACTTAAAAAAAAAAATTGTGGCAAAACATATATCCATAAAACTTGCCATTTTAACCGTTTTTAAGTGTACATTCATTATGTTTTTTGTTTTTTAAAAAAGATTTTATTTGAGAGAGAGCGAGTGAGCATGAGCAGGGGGTAGGGGCAGAAGGAGAGGGAGAAATAGACTCCCACTGAGCAGGGCTTGATCCTAGGAGGACCTGAGATCATGACCTCAGCCAAAGGCAGACATACAGACTGAGTCACCCAAGTGCCCCCAGAATGTGCTCTTTAAAGTTGTAAAAGCTTCTGGATAAATTCTTATTAAATAATTTAGTAGCCATTCAATATTCAGTTATGTTTACACATACCATTACATAGAATTTACATAGTAAAAAGAATCTGTTAGATTTTTTTGAAAAGATTACTTGAGAGTGCGGACGCATATACGCATGTACACGTGTGTATCACATGTGCTGCTGAGGGGCAGAGGGAGAGAGAGAATCTCAAGCAGACTCTCCGCAGAGTGCTGAGCCCAAGTGGCAGGGAGGGGGAGCTTGATCTCAAGACACTGAGATCATGACCTGAGCCCAAATCAAGAGTCAGACGCTCAACCAATGAGCCATCCAGACGCCCCAAGAACCTGTTATTAAAAAAAGTAGCTCAAATAGAAATGTTGAGATATTGGGCGCCTGGGTGGCTCAAATGGTTAAGCATCTGCCCTCGGCTCAGGTTGTGATCTCAGGGTCTTGGGATCGAGTCCCGAGTTTGGCTCCCTGCTCAGCGGGGAGCCTGCTTCTCCCTCTGCCTCTCTCTCCCATGAATAAATAAAATCTTAAAAAAAAAAAAAAAGAAAAGAAATGCTGAGATATTAATATGATAAGACTAGCACATGAGAAAGGTAAACTTGCTTTATGGACCTTCAAAAATTAAAATCACCAGGAAAGTATTTAAAAATAATTATTGAGGTACCTGGCTAGCTCAGTTGCTAGAACGTGTGACTTGATCTCGGGGTTGAGTTTGAGCCCCACGTTGGGCAGAGATTACTTAAAAATAAAATCTTAAGAAAAAAAAAAACACTAAAAAAAATTATTGTTTCAAAGGTTCATTTTTTGGCCACCTGTATATACATATATATATATTTTTTTAATCTATAAAAGATAATATAAATATAAAAAATAATCCAGATGTAGGTTACAAAAACTGCTGTTAATCACTAATTAGTCCTAAAACATGTCCTTTTGCATCTCTGCACACTTATACTGTCACAGACAGATCTTTCTTACTATAAAAATATTTATATATTGGGGCGCCTGGGTGGCTCAGATGGTTAAGCGTCTGCCTTCAGCTCAGGTCATGATCCCAGGGTCCTGGGATCGAGTCTCGCATCGGGCTCCCTGCTCCTTGGGAGCCTGCTCCTCCCTCTGACCCTCTCCCCTCTCATGCTGTTTCTCTCTCGCTTGCTCTCTAAAAAATAAAAAAATTAAAAAAAAAAACATATATTTACATAAAAATAATCTCAACTCAAAAGCCAACTTCATGTTTAGTGAGTATCTGCTACAAGCATTCCCATTTAAAATCAGAAATAAAATAAAGGTGTACCACAATTCCGGAGATATAAAAAATGTAACGAGATAGGAGAAAGACGACTCAAATGAACTCATGAACAACTAGCACAAATAGCAAGAGAATTACTGAAGTGCCCAAGTATAAAATTACTATCTAGAAATCAATACCTTGGTAGGGATTAAGTTGATAGATTGATCACACACAACTAACTTCACTTCCTTCTAAAACAGCCATAAACAAAGGTAAAGTTCCTACTCCCAAGGAAAGGAACAAGAAAGGAAGCAACAAAAAGAAACAAAGCAACAAAATTCTACAAGTTGAAGAGAGAATGGATGAGTAGTTAACTACCTCAGCTGATCTGAGATAAACCAACTCTAAAAGAGTGATGGAAAAAGCTGAGAGAAACATCCTGATTCATGCTGCAGAATCTTCAAAAAGGCTCAGAAACCAGCAGCTCCAGATATCCCTGGAATAGGGGAAAGGGGAGCTAAAATGAAGTTGTGAGATCCCAGATCCATTCCTTCCCTCCAGGTTGAAGATGACAGGTTTTTCCCTACCCTGGCATAAGTTCTAGACTTTTTTTCTTTGAATAGAACATAAGACTTTTCTCTGGGGTTCACCAAGCATGAGTAAATGGTTCAGTATCATGCATGTGATTCCCACAGAGCTGGCATCTAGATCTCTATCTTCTAGGCATGCGACTCTTCCCTGGAAGACTTTTCTCAGAAACACTCTTCTCTGTGGAATTAGGAACAAGCAAAAAAGGAAAGACCTAAAGATAATGACTCAAGAGATTACCCATCAACTGGTGAAAAGAATCATCCTACAGTGAAGCTCACAAATTGAAAGCCCCACACATTTTTCTAATCTGCTTTGTACTTCCAAATTCTTAATCACAAGTAGACCAGTCAAGAATTACTAAGTAGCTGAGGATAGCTTCTAATAAGAATAGTTAAAAGAAAAAAAGAAAAAAGAGAAGTAGATAATGCAGCAAAAACAAAAATAAAACGAAAAACCACAAAATTATTAGTACTCTAGACGGGTGATGAGTAAAAGATCATAAAAATGTCTAGGTCAAGAGTAGCATGCTCTACCCAATGAGCCAGCCAGGCACCCCAAGATAGCAGAAATTTGAACACCATTCTGGCTGGCACTAAAACCTAGTTTTTTGTACTACATCATGCTGCAAATACCTCAGAATACTCCAAGAAAAATGGTTTTTCTAAGTGATAATAACTGAGTGACTTGTTACCATGCCAATCTTAGTCCTCACTAGTTCCCTTTCTCTATGAATGCCCAACATAGCTCTAGAACCATACCTACATCCCATCATCTCACAAAACTCCATAGAATGTGAAATATCATCACTTCAGGGATCCTACGAAAATTACCTAATTGAAACAATATCCATTCCTAAAAGCTAGACATAGCAATCTACATCGTGACACCATAGTGTCCTAGATCTAACTAACTAAAAAGTTGTACCGTGAAGAATAACAGAGTTAAGTGCAAATTCAAGTTTGGTAAGGAACAACAAGGCCAAAGGGAAGGCAGGAATACTACAATGTGAGTTATTCTAACGTCAAGTTTCTTTACAATAACCAACTGTAAACTGTTGGACCAGCTTTAAAGGATAAAATAGGCAGGATCCAACACTGTACTGAATCCCAGGTAACAGATGTAGAATCAATGATTTTTTTTTCCAAATCACCATCTTCAGATTCCCAATAAAATTATTATTTAGGCAAGGATTGGTGTTAAGAAACCATTAACTGAATAGCTGACAAAAAACTGGGCATTTTACTGTACCAAAATGAAACATCACATAGATTACTTTCTGGTACAAGGAAAAGATACATTAACTTCATAATGGAGAGATCAGGCTGTCACTACCAATTCAGTGGTCAATCTTAGAACCACATTAGTGCAACTACATTATGTATCTCCTGATGTGATGCTATCAGGAAGACTATCAGGGTACTTAAACATAAATCTTCCTCAAATATAAGACAAACACAAAAGGGTGCTTGGGTGGCTCAGTTGGTTGAGCCGCTGCCTTCAGCTCAGGTCATGATCCCGGGGTCCTGGGATGGAGTCCCACATCAGGCTCCCCTTGCTGGGCGGGAAGCCTGCTTATCCTTCTGCCTCTGCCTGCCACTCCCCCTGCTTGTGTGCTCTCTGTCAAATAAATAAATAAAATCTTAAAAAAAAAAAAAAGACAAACACAAAAAATACTCTGTCAATCTTAACACAACAGAAGATTCAGTACATTTTTCTTTAAAACAACAGCAAAGAAAAAAACATTTTTATCCATTGGGAAAGAACAAAAAAAGTTAAATTCAAATTATTAAAAATGAAACTAACTTTAAGTCCTATTTGGAACTCTAGAAAATGCTAGTGGTGTAATTATCAGCATGCATTACCAGTGCTTTCCCAGGGATTACCCTGGTTTGACTCTGAGGACAGGGTCCACCTAAGCAATTAGCTCTTTGCCTTCAAGATAACAAAGATAAACCGCCTAACTGCAGCACTAAGTGTATTAAATAAAAAAGCAGGGCTCAATTACTCACAAGGGGTATGTTTTCTTAATTTCTGGCAACGTTTCACCAGACTGGTCTGAAGATAATTCCTGATCCTAGAACGACAGGAGAGAGAGATGAGAAATTAGTTACAGCCAATTTGGAGACAGCACCAACTCCTAACCACCAGAGGGAGAAAGTAAAGAGTAAGAAGTCAAGGAGTTTCCGTGCTCTTCCACCCTCCCCCACCCCCAGTGCGGTGGGGAAACGAGGTGAGTAAACAAATCCAAAAGAGTACAGGGACCTCAACGACTAGACAAAGCTAAATCTCGTTCTTCAAACTACAGAATGGAAGGCAGAGGGCAACAAGGTTGACCTAGGGAAGGGGCAGGCGGGGTGGTTGGAGGGCAAATGTTACCTCGACACCAGCAAGGGAGCTGTATTCCCTCCTAAATTTGCCCACCCAGCGTCATCCCTGTCACTCCCGGCACCAATTCAGAGATAAGGGAAAGCTCAAGTCACCGCCGGGCTGCTATCTCCTACATTTGTCCCAAGCAGTTGCTATGACTCCGAGACTTCCCCGCTCCCTGTCCGCCATTAGAAACTTGCCCAAATTAGACATGAGTACGCGAAATAACCCGAAAGGGAAGAGCGACGGAGGGAACCGAGTGGGGGAAGAGGCAGCACCCTCGCCCCGAAGAACTTGGGGACCTCAGGCTACCGCAGGGACGGTGGGAGCGCAGCCCCGAGAGCGCGAGAACGAACTGAGGCACCCCTCCCCCACCTTCCCACCACCACCCCGCCCCCCGCCCCCGCAAGAAAGGAAGGAAAAATACCCCGCGACCTCCCACCCTCCCGGCCCGGGCGGCCCCCGCTCCCCGAGCGACCCCCCGCCTCTGGCGTCCGCCTCACCCAGCCCTCCCGGCCTCGCCCTCACTCTCGCAGCCCTTCGGGCCGCACGCGAAGACGCCTGTGACATAAGCGGAGCCCGGAGCAGCCACCGAGGCCCCGACGCGGTAGCGGCGACCGCGGCCGTGCCGCGGGGTATTAATCCCGGGTCGGTGGGAGGCTCCGGAGGCTGCCCTCACCGCCTCCGCCTCCCGAGGCTGCGCTGCTCCCAGCCACCCCCACTATCGGCGGACCTGGACTGGAAAGACAGCGGGGATAAGCCTCACCCGGTTCTGGCTGCGGCTCCGCGGAACGAACCTCCCCTCCCCCGGCCCACCCCCCTTCGGCAACACGCACAACTCCACTCGGTCCAGTCCCGGGTTTAGCGCTGGTGAGGAGGAGGAGGCGGAGGAGGCGGCGGCGCGTCCGAGCCCGGGAAGGCCCCGCCCGCCGCACCCTCATTGGCTGGCGGGGAGGGCGGGCCGGGGCGCTTCGGGCACGTCCATTGGCTCCATCTGCCTTCCTTCAGGACCCCCCTGGAGGGGGTGGTCCGGAGGGCTGTCCATCAGGCGCAGACCACACCCCCCGGCGTTGCCGTTCCACTCCCCCCTCCGCCAGCGCTCGGCCCTCGGCCGCGTCCCCTCCCCTCCTTACCCCCGCCTCCCACCCCGCCCCCACCCCCGGGTCCGTCAGGGTCAGGCGGCCCGAGTTTCGCTGTCCGCTGCACCGGCCGCCGGCTCGGTGCCTGGGGGCCCGGGGGGGGGGCCCTCCAGGGCCCGATACAGCCCGAGAGACTGAGGCCGTGGCCGCCTGCCCTAGCTCGGGCCTGGGCGCCCAGGCCCCTGGAGCCGCTCCCAATGACCCTGCCCGAGGAGAGACGGGGCCTCGATGTCCCCAACGCCCTCCCTGTCCAGTTCCTGAAGCCCCCCATGAGGGGCGAGCCCGGGCAGGGGCTGGAGCGAGGCAAAGTGGGAGGTCGGGGCAGCGCGTGAAGTGGGTTCCCGAATGTGCTGAGGGGAGTGGGAACACTTCCACCCTCGCCTCACCCCCGTGGGGAATTGTCCCCCCACCTCCCGTCATGGCTGCAGGAGGAGACGACGTCCTCCATTTTGTCGGGACTGCTGTGGGAACTTGGGACCAATTCAAAACCAAACCCCGTGGGGCAGGGAAACTTGGCCCCGCGAAGCCCCAACTGGGCTCCGCCATTCGGCCGAGGGGACAGCCCCTGATTCCAGCGTCTGCGCCTGAGGGGCCCTTGGGGGACGGGCGCCACGGTGGAGAGACCCAGACGCCGCTCCCCGCCTCCATCAACCAAGATGGAGGAAGCTGCGGGCTCCCCTGGAGCTGGGCTCCCGCCTGTTGGAGGGGCTGGAGCCTCCCCTCGGTGTGTCCTTCGGCGCTGCCGTCGTCCTCCTCCGCAGCCTCTTTCCCTTGCCCTCCCCCAGCCTCTAACCCAGCCTCTCCACTGCCTTCCACCATCTCCTGGTCCTCAACGGTTGATGGAGACTCCACTCCACAGTCTGCTCAATCGCTTCGCCCAACCAGGGCCGGCCCGGGTGCGGGGAGCCGAGCGAAGGTGTGGAGTGTTGCGGCGCGCCCCGGGGCGGGCGTGCCCGGGGAAGCCACATCGACGATGGGGCTTCTCTTTTGTTCATCGTCTACACCTACGTCTTCGGCGCACGTCATGGTGCTGTGCAATTTCCAAGATTCCATGTAAAGATGAAAGTGAGGCCTCTTTCGTCTCACCCTAGTGGTTGTTAGTGGGATTACAATTGATGGTGGGGAAATGATGGATGGATAAATTAGACTTCTCACTATCATGATTATCTAACACCACTGCCTATTAATAAGTAGACGTGTGATGTTACAATTTAAAGTTTTGCACGATGATGATGAACATGAGGTTTTTAATGAATTAATCAACTCAGTAAAAACATGTTGAACAGTTTAAATGCCACTTACAGAACGTAAACCAGTAGAAGTTGAGATTCATTCTAATTACAAATCCATGACCATCCTCATTCCAACCTTGCTTGCTATTTTGTAATCGAATAATTTAGGATGTTGTAACGTCCAAATAAAAAAATTGTGACACTGATAAATAACAAGACAATGTTATTTATTATGGGTATTTTGATAATTAAAGACTTAACTGCTCATGGAAAGGCAGATAGACATTGTGACCAAGAGTATGTTTTCTGGAGCCACATTGCCTGCCTTTGAATCTTTATCATCAGTAATAAGTTCCTTAGACTCTCGCACTCTTAATAGCTGCTATATTGGACAGCATAGATAACAAAATATTTCTATCATTACAGAAAGTTCTATAGGAAATCACAACATTCATCTTAAATATTATTAGGAGAGTGGGGAAAAAGACTGAAAAGCCAGTCAGCCATTTAAGCTTCTCCATCCTTCTTCCTTCTTCCCTAGTTTCTCTCTTTTTATAGCTTAAAATACACTTTTGTTTTGTTGGCAATTGTTTGTTAAGATAAGCATCAATTTCCTCAGTCTCTTTTCTCACTTGTCCTTCACCTCCACAAATGTTTTGATCTGTGCTTATGATATACTGTGTAATACTTGGATCATGATTTTAGAATACTAAGCCACTTTCCAAAAGTAAATTTTGGTTTCAAGTGTATTTTCTCCCAGCTTCTTCATTTTATGGACTGATTCCAAGCATTAAATCTTTTTTTTTTTTTTTAAGATTTTTATTTATTTGACAGAGACAGAGAGAGACACAGCGAGAGAGGGAACACAAGCAGGGGGAGTGGGAGAGGGAGAAGCAGGCCTCCCGCTGAGCAGGGAGCCCGATGCGGGACTTGATCCCAGGACCCTGGGATCATGACCTGAGCCGAAGGCAGATGCTTAAGGACTGAGCCACCCAAGTGCCCGCATTAAATCTTTTTTTTTTTTAAAGATTTTATTTATTTATTTGAGATAGAAGGAGGGGGGCAGAGGGAAAGGGAGAATGTTAAGCAGACTCTGCCCTGAGCAGGGAGCCCACCTGGGGCTTGATCTCACAACCCTGAGATTGACTGACCCAAAACCAAGAGTTGTTTGTTTAACCAACTGTACCACCTAGGTGCCCCAAATCTTTTCTTTTTGTATTACAGTAATTTTCTTTTTGTATTAAAATAATATGCATTAATTTTACATTAAAGATATTTTTATGAAAAATTTTTTTCTTCATGTACCACTGAGCTAGTTGGGAATTAATAATATGAATTAATAGTAATAAAAGCTAGACTGTATCAAATTCTTACTGTGTTATAAGTACAATTCTAACTGTAATATGTGTGATAATTCATTAAATCCTACCAAAATTATCTAAAGTATTTTTATTAATCCATATTTTATTATTTTATTTTATTTTTACCCACATTAAAAGATGATGAAACTAACACAGAGAGTTTAAGTAACTTGCCTATGATCATACAGCTAGCTGGTGATAAAGTTAAGATCAAACACAGGCAATTTGGTTCTAGAGAATGTACCCTTAGTAACAATGTTTGCCTTTCCATGAGCAATAAATCAAATCCAAAGATCAATAATTAGGGGCACCTGGGTGGCTCAGTCAGTTAAGCCTCTGACTCATGATTTTGGCTCAGGTCATGATCTCAGGGTTGTGGGATCAAGTCCCCAAGTCTGCACTGGGGATAGAGCCTGCCTAATATTCTCTCTCTCCCTCTCCCTGAGCCCTTCCCCGCCCCCCCCAAATTTTAAAAGATCAAGAATTAGGGGCGCTTGGGTGGCTCAGTGGTTAAGTATCGGCCTTCAGATCAGGTCATGGGATCAAGGCCCACATCGGGCTCCCTGCTCGCGAGAAGACTGCTTCTCCCTCACCCACTCCCCCGGTTTGTGTTTCTGCACTCACTATCTCTCTCTGTCAAATAAATAAATAAAATCTTTTTTTTAAAAGATTTTATTTATTTGAGAGAGAGAGATTGAGAAACAGCATGAGAGGGGAGAGGGTCAGAGAAAGAAGCAGGCTCCCTGCTGAGCTGGGAGCCCAACATGAGACTCGATCCCAGGACTCCGAGACCACGACCCCAGCGGAAGGCAGTCGCCCAACCAACTGAGCCACCTAGGCATCCGATAAATAAATAAAATCTTTAAAAATAAATAAATAAATAAAAGATCAATAATAATAACATTGCTTTGTTGTCCTTATTAAACAGATACAAAAACCCTAAGTGGTCACATATGATAACAGAATTAGTATTATATAAATTCTGTTTGTTCTTTACAATGACTGTGTTATCATCATTTATTTATAATCTATTGTGGGTTTTTTTAGATTTTATTTATTTATTTGTCAGAGCACAAGCAGGGGGAGCAGCAGGCAGAGGGAGAGGCAGGCTCCCCGCTGAGCAAGGATTCTGATATGGGACTCAATCCCAGGACCCTGGGATCATGACCTGAGCTGAAGGCAGACACTTAGCTGACTGAGCCACTCAGGCGTCCCTATAATCTATTGCTTAAAATGAAGTAATACAGACCTGAATTGCACATGATACAAGTTCTAATGATTTAGAATAATTATAAACTTACTCTCAAAACAAAGATGTATAAATAAGTTTATCCATATTGTGGGATGATAATAGTATTGGGAGTTTTCTGAATTAACCTCTATGTAAAATACAATCTTTGTTAAATGATAAGCAACAAGTCATGTTAATTTGAAGTTTACAAGTTCATTATTAATACTCAACAATACCTGCAGTAATTACTTTGTACCAAGACCAACAAAAGATAATTTTAATAAGTATTTTAACTGTGACATTATTTAAAATTGCCTGAACATAGTGATAATAAAAAGCAGACTAATTCTTAGAGTTCATTGTCTTTAAATTCCCTACAGACACTCCAACTCCCAAGTAACAACTCCCCCTGCTGCCTACCTCACCCATGGCATGACACGGGATATATACATTTATATACATTTGTGTATATGTATGTATATATTTTTATATATTAATGTATATACATGTATATAAAATAATGGCATATTATAATCAGCCAAATAATAAGGTACAACTGTCATACACATACATGTACCTAATATATACCACTTATACTGGATTGAAGGTTGTCCTCCCCAAAATATATGTTCATCCAGAACGTGTAAAAGTAATCTCATTCAGAAAAAAAGTCTTTGTACACCTACTTAAGGA